TTCAACTATGTTCTTCTAAAAGTTTTTTGAAAAGCAGAAAGTAAAAAGGGTTCATAGCTCGTAGGAATTCTTTGAATAGCTCGTAGGAATTCTTTGAACCTGTCTTTGTGTTATCCCATTCATTGGGAATTGAGTCATAACATTTTCTAATTTCGAATACTTATCAACAACACTGATTGAAATTCTATTGGTTCGTCGGATACAAAGCCAACGCTGCAAATGACAAAATCGATTTCCATCTTGGGAAGGACTATAAAAATCACTTAAAAAAACCAGAGAACATGACATAGGTGAAGATGAGACATAACAGATTGTTGGGACAGAACACAATATTCTTAAACGGATGACCCACGATATTCTTCATAAGGTAACCCATTTTGGTTGTTATGATGTAAAGCTTCCAAAGTTATAAAAAAATTGACAGCCAGCAAATTTTTATGTAGGGTACAAAGTTTTTTTTGCTTGTGGTGGAGTTTGAAAAAGTAAGAGGTAGGTGGCCTAGCCGTTCTTGCCCTTTAGGGACATGTTTTAATCCAGCTCAAGTTGGGGTGGCCAGCCGCTGAGCTCGAGGAAGTAGTTAGCGCAAAGTTAGACACCTTGTAGCCAAAAAAGAAAAGAAGAGAAGTCGATCCGAGACATTAAACTTGACATGCATTTACTTGGATAGATGGGTGTTTTCAATCTCTGCTTAGGACAAGACTATATGCACCTAACCTTTCTCAAATTCTGCATTAACAAGAGTCTTGTAAAGTATACTGTCCTTTATTATGATACACATAATGCACAATTATAGAGTTTGAAGTATTGGAAGAGTGGGTGTGGTTGGGGGAGGTGGGCACTTCCCTCAGATACTTTCTGTGTGGGTGGTCCTTTTCACCCTCCACGTTCGCTATACCAGCTGATGATTGAATGATAGATAGCAAACTATTACAATGGTCTACAACAAATGGTTCTTATCTTCCATTAGTTTAATGAAAAGTCTTAGCCCACCCAAAGCATATTTAATGTAAACTGTAAAATATAGAGGTGGAAACATAGTGGGCAGGCGTTACTTAAACTAATTTGAGTAAAGAATAATGTTGTAAATACAAATACATTTAGTAAAAATTGAATACTAAATGATGTGGCATGGTAATGGTCATTGGATGTTTAGTAGAATTAATCCAACTACTATATTGATTTAATAAGAAAATTTGGGTTAAAGTTTAGCAAGCGTAAGATTGTTCATTTGTAAAAACCATTATGTAATTGCATCTTTTCTTGTTTTCTCCCAAGATACTTATGTGGGCTAAATGTTACATTAAACATATATTAGTAGGTAAGCATCATATAATTTAATTCCTATGATATTTGCCTACATTTAAAACATCATCTTATGTTTTTAGGCGCGTAAATTTGTTTTATTTAATATTTATAATTATACTTTGTCCTCCTAAACTAAGATCCCGAATCACTAGGTTCACTTTACTTCCACTGTTTTGTTGTCTTCTATGAAGCTTTATAAAAGGGAAAAAAGAAAAGAAAAGAAAAAAAACAATTAAGGTCCCGTTTGGTAACGTTTATGTTTTTCGTTTTTCGTTTTTATTTTGATATTTAGAGAAAATAAGAAAAAAAAACTCGTTTGATAACCGTTTTTTTTTCTGTCATCGTTTTATAAACGAGATGCGATTTTCAAAAACGAGAAAAAGACGTTTTTTATTTTATAATTATGTTTTTAGTTTTTTAGAAAATCAAAAATCGTAAACGTTATCAAACGAGCTCTAATATTGCATTTTTTTTAAACTTGAATCGAATTTAAGTGTAAGGGTGCTTGTTGCTTGTGGTTGGTGTATGAGGATTGGAAAAGTCATTTTTCTAATTTTGTTTTAGTTTAACGATCAAAAGTGTTTAGATCAGTTTACGAGCACCACGATTGATTCTCTTTTCGGTCCGGTCAAAGATAATCCATTCACACTAAAACCTATTTTAATTGGTCATTTATAAATTTTTATTTTCTAGCAATATTATAGGGATTTAATTTGTGAATTTAATTCAGTTGAGTCATTGAATTAATTGTAACTTTCAATGTTAGATGAAATTCAATTTTAATCTAATAGTTGTATTGAATTAAGTTTTCTTATTAAATCCCAAAATTAAGTCTAAATAGCGTTTTCCTTTCCATCTAGGAGAGTAATCCCTATCAAAATATGGTGTAAACTCTTATGTCTCTCTCCTTATGAATCTATTAGGAGTAACTCGTGTATGAAATCACGATGCAATAAAAATGGTTTTGAGAGGCATGTTAGTAGTTATTGAATAAGTCTATTTGAGACCGTCGAATAAACTTATTAAAACTTACTCTATTTTATATTATAGATTCCACATGCTTATTCTTGCTTTATTTGCATTTCTTTTTGTTTCTTCTTTGCTTGTCGAATTGTTAAAGTGGGCTCGACAGAAAAAGTTAAGATGGGGGGCTTAGTGGGAACAAGACCATAGGCTTGAAAGTGGATGATATGGGCTGGGCTGGGCTGGGCTAGGCCCAAATTGTAATCCTATCAGAATGATCAGGCTGTTCATTTTACACGGTCATATGTCTGGTGTCTTTTGGGCTCCTTTTTGTCCCAAAACTTGAATCATAAAGAAGTATTTTGTACTTCACGTTTTGACAATCTTAGTCTAACTACATAACCAGGACAATTAGTCTATTAGGGCCAGTATTTTCACACCATAGTCCAGCTTTCAAAGAGGGTTAGGCCCTCGGCGGTAGGGGGAAATTAGGAAGGTGGGTTATGCATGCATTTCTCACATAATTCAAGCCATAAGCTCAGACGTGATAAGTGTGTGATAATAGGAATGAATTGTAAATTCAGACGTCTTAAATTCGAATTTTGAAAATTCTTTTGGGTTCAAGTTATGAGAAATTTATCTCTTCTAAATACTTTCGTACTGGCGGGGATGACTTGTCTTTGATTGGACCGTAAAAGAGATTAATCGAAGTACGAGCTAGTTAAAAAGATTAATCGAAGGACGAGTAAACTAGCTCAGATACTCTTGATTGTTAAACTAAAAAAAAAAATGAATTTTGTTCTCACTTTATCATTGGAATCCTTGCCTTTTGCTTTTATATTGGAAGATGAATCTTTGTTACTATTAGATACGGTTTTTTTTTTTTTTTTTGGGATTTTTTACACTTTATGAAATCCTCCACAACTCTAAAGATGGAAAAAGAAAAGAAGAGTTAAAGTGCAAAAAAATCTTTTACAAAGATGGTAAAGCAGTAAAGCAGTTTATATGAAAAAAAGACACAAACCCTTGTGTATGCTCAATGGATTCTCTTCTTTTCTGCTTTAATAGAATTGCAAACCGGATGATGCAATTATTGTAATTAGTTTGAAGGAAAACTTTGTTGCAAATCTGTTTTAAAAAAATTGATATAATATAAGCTTTAATTTGCGTCAAATACGGATTTAAAATTCAAAAACAACATGCAATTTCTAATCCCTCCCTCAAGAACTCCATCATTCGAAAACTTTTAAAAAAGAAATCTCATACCATCGTTAAATTATTATCTAAAAAATACATACGTTTAAAATGAAAAATACAATGAATAGAGTTTAACTTAGTCGACTAGACATAAATTTTAAAACAAAAAGGTTAGTTGAACTTGACTTTGGGGCTCTCTCTTAACCCTTGGATGGCTCTTCTTTTGTTTTTTTTTAATCAAGGGTAATTTAGTCTTTTCAATGGTTGTACCATCACATAACTTGTACGTGATTAATTTCGTTCACTTTGAATAGCCCAAAATTAATGCTGGTCTCCTTGAAATCTGTTTTGGACTTTAAAGGGGTAATTTATTGAAATTGACCTAATTGCAATATGACCCAAAATTATATGAGGTAATTTGTAATAACTCTTAATTTTAATTTTGTTTTTTGAAGTTTTTGCATTTTGTACCTTAAAAGATTTTAATATTCTCATTTTATACCTTCAACTCATTCATACCGACGAAAAAACTAATAAAAAAATAACATAAGAGTCACATTACAATACTTTTGATACATTAAGGATGTAATATAAAAAAATTAATTTTTGAGAGTATGAAGTGAGAATCTTGAAATTTTTCAAGGTATAAATTATAATTCATCCATTTTTTTTAGATTTTTTAAAAGAGTAATGTTATTTGGATTTAAAAATATCTAATATGCTGAATTAATGATGTGATTTTATTAAAATAACACCAAATTCTAATTTTTTATGGAGTCTATACTTAATTTAAATATAATAATAAATTAAGTAAATAAATTAAGTACAATAACATTACATTATGAAGATAATAATTTTTATAAAAAAAAGGGCAACACCTTTCCATAGAAAAGTCAATGCCCTTGGAAGTTACCGGGCAATAACCTCCAATAAACATCACCTCAGTAGTCCCCCAACGCAACCGCGTGAGGAATACATGGCCTTACCTGGTAGATGCCGTGTCCTATTCCTACTATGTTCTATCACAATTCCCTATCTACTTTGTTAACCAATTCCACCATTCCCACTCCAACACAAGCTTAGAGAGAGAGACCCCCAACCCTTTCTCTCTCTATATATATCCACAAATACATAATCCTCCAATACCCACTTCCTTTATCATTCACAAATCCTCTCTCTCTCTCTCTCTCTCTCTCTTCACAATGGGTGGTGCACAACAGCCACACTTGAATGGAGCCTATTACGGCCCATCGATCCCCCCACCACCACCAAAAACCTACCACCGCCCCGGCCGCGGTGACGGATGCAACCCACTCACCTGCTGCTGTGGCTGCCTCTGTAGCTGTATCTTCAATTGCATCTTCCAAATCATTCTCACCTTCGTCATCGTCGTCGGCGTCATAATACTCGTCCTTTGGCTCACCCTCCGACCCAACAAGGTCAAGTTCCAAGTCACCGACGCTGCTCTCACCGAGTTCAACTTCACCAACACCAACACCAACACCAACAATCTCAACTTCAATCTCGCCCTCAACATGACTGTCAGAAACCCTAATAAGCGCATCGGCATATACTACGACAGTATCGAAGCTAGGGTTTTCTATGAAGGTCAGAGATTTAATAGCATCCAACTGACCCGATTCTATCAGGGTCACAAGAATACCACTACTTTGAATGCCGTGTTTAAAGGGCAGAATTTGGTTTTGCTTGGAAACAAAGAGGCTTCGAAATTTAATGAAGAGAAATCATCTGGGACTTTTAGTATTGATATGAAGCTTTATCTTCGAATTAGGTTTAAGGTTAGTGTGTTTAAAAGTCCCAAGTTCAAGCCCAAGATTGAGTGTGATTTGAAGGTTCCTCTGGACTCTAATGGCGGATCTTCTGGTAGCTTTGAGGCTACCAAGTGTAAACTCGATTGGTAGTTTCGAAACTACAGACTCGGATGTTGATTTTCTGATCGGCAGATCTTCTTGTTCTTTGATTGGTCTTTTTTTTTTTTTTTTTTGTTTTATTTATATTAGCAGATATACATAATACATGATTATGGGTATTTCTCTTATTTTTTGGGTTTGGGTTTGAATTTGGGATACCCATAGTTGTGTTTTAGCTTTTATTATATTCACGGATTATTTCATTGGATTATACGCATTTATGTTTTGATGTGAATAAATAATGAATTTATTATATTCTTTTTCTTTGTGTGGAATATGACGATGATGTTTAGAATTTTTTATCTTGACGTCTCTTTCTGTGGTGGATTTACATGACTTTATACTTTTAAAGGCATGTTTGGATTAGATTTATGGAATTTTTTCAAACTCAACTCCAAGGATTTGTATATGAGATTGAATTTTTTTTTTATTATATGTGGGGTTTATGGATTTATATCAAATTATATTATTCAATTTACTAAAATATTTATTATTAAATGAAAAGAAGAATGAATTTTTGGATAAAATATTTTTTTTGTCTTGAAATCCAATCTTTAACTTTTTAAATTCACCTTCCATGAACTATTCACCACTGACAGAGAGTGGGCGGGATTCGCTCAAATTTTAAACCAAACACAAGTATAAAAGATATTGATCTATTTTTTAACAAAATTCACCCATACATTCCATTCCATCCAATTTTATATACCAAACATGCCCTAAAGTCATTGATAGGATTAGCCAATTGAATTGACCCATCAACTAAAAAGAGACATATATAAAATACTATTGTCCCCTGGAAAGGAATAGAAAACACACACTCCCCTACAAAATTACCAAAGTGTTCGTTGAATTGGCTGCACATGCTTTATCTTTGGATTTCAAATTTCAAATTTCAAACTATTTCAATTTGAATTGGTAGAGCAAGTTGGGTATACTTTTGGAATCAGATCTGCACATGGGGATGTCTACTTTTTTTTTTTTTTTTTGTTCAAACGGGGATGTCTACTGTACTAACCTTCTAGAATGGGGAAAGTATACCGTACCGAATGGGGATTTTTTTTTTTTTTTGTAGAATTACTAGTTATTATTTTTTATGGTAAAATTATAACTTTAAAATAAAAAATTATAATTATTCAACAAAATGTTATGATCAATTACAAACACCCATAATCAATCATGAACTCTCGATATCGATCCCAACTTTCTATAATCGATCATGTTCTTTAAAATTTTAACATATAACTTTAAAAAATGGGCAAAATTCAGTTTATCCCCTTATAGTTTGGGTGTTTTGCACATGACCCCCCAATAATTTGAAAATCAACACATTACCCCCTTATGCTTTTGGACCGATATGCACAATTAACACCGTAAACAGAAGTGATAAAATGACTTTAGTACCCTCAACTATTTATCATTTTTTTCCTCTCTTTCAATTGTTGCCTAATTTTTTGAAAAATCAACCAACCATGCAATTTTATAAGTTTTTTTTCTCTCCACAAAACACCAAACTTCCTCAAACCAATGTCAATATCCTCCACTCTAAACCTAGTTTTAAACCCAACAGACTTGTTTCCTTAAATAGCCCTCATGACCCACGAATTTAAACTCAAAGGTGATTACAAACTCATTTTGACAGGTTATGTACATACCAGATTTTTTTTCAACATTTGGGCCAACTTTGACCCTTAATTTCTCCCCCGTTTCTCAACTTTTTTGGGCGATTCAAATGCCTAAATTTAACCTATTTCTACCCTCTTTCCAACCATGTATTTAGTTTGTCCACATCAAGCGCATGGTAAGTAGAAATCGAGCTCCAAAGTGACGGATTCATCATTCTAAAAAATTGTCACGATTTTTAATTCAAATTTTCACCCATCAAACCTTATTCTTTCTCGATTTTAACTTCAAAAATGGATTCCTTGACCCTAAAAATGGTGGATTAGGATCTCCTTCACCTCCGAAACTCGAAATTTTGAATACTCAAAAATTTAAGTTTCAAGCTTAAACAAGAGTTTTGATTTTCTTTCACTTTATACCACAGCCACTAAAGAAACTTTTGGAAATTGTTATTGAATATGAAAACAAGCTTACCTTATCACAGAATTGTGGATGATGCCTTGTAGCAAAAGTTCTTTTTGCAATTAACAGCTCAACACTTATCTCAAAACCTATTTGAAAACCATTTGCAATTTTGCATTCGAAGCATCCGATAGAAACTCATACCCAACACTGAGTGTGAATATATGAAAATTAAATGGTGAGTAGGTTTTAAGAGGTTATTAAGGTAGTCAGCGCATTTGGAGAAAACGTCTTTCATGGAAGAGGACTCAGTGGTCACTGATCATTATTCTTGGCTTCTTTGCTGCGCTTTGTAAGGTTGACTCAAAAGAGAGAGAGAGAGAGAGAGAGAGAGAGAGAGAGAGAGAGAGAGAGAGAGATTACATTGACAGAGGCGTCGGGGTTTGGAAGCCATGAGGATTAGTTTGTGGAAGGCCGAGGAGTATAACATCTGTTAACATAGGGTCATTTTTGACATTTGGGTATATTTATTTTGAAGTGAAGTTGATAACTTTGTTGATCAATCGCCAAATCAACGCGTCCTCTCCACTTCCGTCTATTCTGACGAAAAACCTAATAGTTACAGATAAGTCCATAACTACAGGGGGTGATGTGCTTATTTCCAAATGATAGGGAGGGTCACTGTTCAAAGCACAAATCACGAGGGGGTAAACTGGAATTTGCCCTTAAAAATTATAACAAAAGAGTGATACCATGACCTTTCCCTCTAAGTATGACACGGAAAATATTGATAGAAATAAAATCAAGTTTGGTTTCGAATAAGTAAGTTACAATTCAAAAGCATGGAATTAAAGATTTACCCAAAATGATCCCTTTTTTTTTTGGATTTTGTTAAGTCATGACTTTAAACTTATGAAATCATAATTTGTTGTATAACTAAGGGTAATTCGTGCCTAAAGTATGACACAATGTAAATAATTTTAAGAAAAATATTGATGACTATTGGATGAGTCTATTTAAGACCATCGAATGAACTTATTTAAGACCGCCCTATTTTATATTATAAATATATTGACACGATACACAGTCAATATTGTAAATTTTTGCTTTCAAACGTGGTATGTCCAACAATTACGTATATGCGAGGACTTGGATGCTTGTGTGGCAGAACTTGTATGGTCCAACTAGGTACATAGAAATTTTTACATAGAGAAACTCATGAAGCACAAGAAGATCTTTAATTTGGTGGAGTGGCAGGAAAGATTAACAACAATGGTAACCACCTCAATAGAAAATTGTAGCTCCAATTTTGACTTGTTCTATAAAACACTGTGGACGTCATTTGGGCTAATTATTAACAACTTGCTTGACTTAGGATCGAAGCAACAGACAAAAAAAAAAGAAGACTTATTATTAAGAAACACAAAATCCACGCTTTCATCAAATTTGAAATGCTCAACAATCATCCAAGTACGTAGGTTTTTTCAGGACGGCATCTATGACAATAAACATCGATGGCGACCTACGATTTACATCCTATGCTAAAATCAAAAACCAACGTCAGGGAAAGAAACAGTCACTACCAACTCTGTTTTTTCTTAAATTTATGTAGTCCAAATACAGTTGGTGCTTAGTGTTGCACAGAATTATTAAACAAGGGAGTAGGGTT